AATAAAATGTTAAAAAAAAAAATCACTAAATGGGAACCTCATTGGCTGTGTGAACTTCCACCTGAAGCACAACTCGATGGATTTGACATCATATGCACAGTCCAGTCACTAGTTGGGAACTTGATGATTCGGCACTGCTCAGGCTTCCCCCTGTGAGGATGTTGCTAAGCAAAGTAGCAGTGTTAATTTCAGGGAGAGCATTTGGCCTATTTAAGAAAATAAGCTTTTAAAAACCTGGAATCTGATCATTTGAGTCATGGTTGAATTAAAGCAGAAAGGGACTCTAGATGTCTGACGTCTAGACTAACTACATTTTATAAGTGAGAGAATGTAGGTTTCAAGATGTACTCAAATTCTATAATTGATTATGGTGATGATTGCACAACTCTTCTCAAAAGGAATGAACTATTGAATTGCGTAATATGTGAATTATATCAAAGAATTGCACAAAGTTACACTGCTAGTTAGTGGCACAACCACCATTAGAACCAAACTCTCCCTGAGTTTGTTACATTTTTTACTCAGTATGTATACTAATGCATACCACATTGCCACTATATGACAATTCACATGTGGAAGAACCCAAAAACCACAAAGGAAAAGTATGACAGATTAGATTACTTAAAAATGTAAAACTTCTGTGGCAAATGCATAAAAAGGCATCGAGGGTCATAAGTGACCTCCTCTGTTTTCCCTTGTGTCAAGAGACAGGGGTTAGACATCGTCCAGGATCCATCTTTCTTTTATCCTATTCAGACACCACCCATAACACTCTACTGCTACGCTGAGTTTGATAATTCATTGCAGTGCCCACACGGAACTCACAGATTATACTCACAATTATGGGGGGTTTATTAGAGAAGTTAATAAGTTACCACAGGTCAGTCAGTAACAGTAAGGATACGATCCTTGGTCCACAGCAACATCTCTGTCAGCCAGCCACCTCGTCTCTCTCTGGTCCTCAGGCTCTCAACCAGGTGGTCCCTTGGCCTCTGCTTTCCCGGACCAGGAAGCTGCGTCACTCTGTCTCACAGTCCCAGTCTCAGCTCTGCCCTTCTTGCTCTGTCTCTTAGTCTCTGGTCCCTCTGGTTTCAGACTCCACCGCTGCAGAGACCTACAATGGTCTGGCCTTTCTGTTTCTGCTCATGCGTCAAAGAGGGCTCCTTACAGTTGGGGGCAGGGCGCATAGCGAGAACCCTCTATTGCAGTTGCCCTATTTACATAGTCCTACCCAAACATTTGCAGAGACGGGGTACAAGAGTCATATTAAGAAATGTCAACAACAACAAAAAAAGAAATTTCACTCTACCACAGCAAAAGGCATCATAAGCAAATTAAAAGACAAGCACCCAGCTGGGGGAAATATACCATA